ATTTGCGAATCTGTTATTTCTACGCTAGCCGAAAGATCTGTTTCTCTCACATATTCGTTCTATCGTTCTTTCACGATTATCTCATTTCCTCCTATAATTGTTATTTAGTTTGTTGTTCACTTAGACAACGGTAACGAAGGATGTGAAAATTCTGTAACACTTTATCTACCATACTATCGAACTTCCTCTCGTATACCAAGATAAATTCCCCCAATGGTTTGATCCAAAAAATAAAGGAGCAATAAATGAAATTCGTAACAGATTCATTTTTCCCTTAAATTTCGCAACTCTTTGCACTTCTCTGTATGCAGAAGGTACAACGATTTCTGCATAGCAATTACTACTGTGTTTTCGTTAACATCGGTGGTATCAGAAAATTTTCAACTTCCCTTCTCGTTCTTCTATGATTCCCCCGTATCGTCGATAATTTACACGAAACGAACAAACAAAATCAGACTATTTACCCGATAAAAAGATCGTTCATGCGATCATGACGAACAGCGTGGTAATCGTTTCGCATTTCTCCTTTCACGCGAAACACCTCTGTTCACAGTTTGTCGAGGGCCGGCGAATTAATATTTTCACCATTATAATCGGTCGAGAGAGCCCCTCCCTCTCGGCGATCGCGGTCTGTTTGGTTTGTCGTAATAAAATTTGCGACAGTTTCCGTCGCTCATATGCATAATCGACGCGAATCGCTTTTATCGTGCGCGCGCGTTCGCGCGCCCGTGCAGGCAGGCATGCGAGCACACTGTGTTAACGATGCTTGACGACGCGTAAAATCAGGGGTGATAATTTGGAATTAACCGAATTAGTATGTTACGGCTTTACAATTGCGTTACAGTGGGCCGATGGTACACGCTCGCGTACCCCGTAAACTTGATAAAAGAAAGTGTTTGTGAATTCGTTCGCACGGGCGGGGTGTCACGTTTGAAAACAGGCCTATGTATTCGAATTTCGCTGTTGCAAATTCAATTATCTCGTTAACGTCGTTCAAAACTTGTGTTTCATACGCGCAATTCGACGACGTGTTGCTTCTTAAAAGTTTCTGCTTGAACGTCGAACTACGGACGCCGATCGGGAACGATTCTCTATATACCGGGTGTCCGAAATTGTTTCCGATGAAACTTTGCCAGTATGTTCTACGGGTGTTTGTAAGGGAAAAATGTTATACGAACGTAGGTTGTTTGAAGCTTTTTTAAAAAGTTATAACGATAATACTAAATGTGAATGGACTGGTAACGAACTTGAGGTTGCAATGATCAGAAGAGGAGAATGATACCGGAAAAAGTTAGCATTCAACACGTTCAGCGACTTCAAAGAGTAAACACAGCTCGCAAAAAGAGACTACAGATGTGCATATCATGGATCTATTCTCTATTTTGTATCACAACCTCGTATTCGTTACCCTTCGCTTCGTATTTTCGTTATAACTTTTTAGCAAAGCTTCGAACGACTTATATTTACGTAACATTTTTTGTTTATCTGTATCCGTAGAACGTATTGACGAAGTTCGATAGGAAAAAAATATTGGGACACCCTGTACATGCGAATCTCCAGCGTGAAATCGTTAACGAGAGTTTGAGAAATGTAACATCCGTGTAAGGTCAATCCAGGGTGAACCGTTTCATCTTAAGCAGATGTCGATTTGGGATGCGAACTTGTGACTCTAATCCTTGATTTGGAGAAACTTGTCGTGACTAATCGCAGCCCTCTGCGGTGCTCGAAAACTTGTGCGATAGCACGCAGAAACTGGTAGGTGTGATACGACAAGTGCTGTAGCCGGCACACTGATCAGATATATTCCTTTTGAAATGCAAATGATGATATTTGTTCGAACTATGTATTACACATCATATCGAAAGGTATAATTAGGAAAGTACGGTAATGAGAAAATTCGTGCTTCCAAGTATTCGCTATCATTTCCTCTTGAAATCGAACTGATAAAGCTAGTAAAATGATGAAGAGTTGTCGAAGAAGACACTTTCTTCACTCGCTTGATTTCAGAGAATTTTTTCTAGAAAACTGTCGAATACAGAGAATACGAATTATAATACTTTCCGTTAGAACAGAACACAATTTAATTTCCCATTCTGTCGCTGGAATAAACGGTGTACCTGCTCGAAAGGAAAATTGATTTACACATCGAAGCTGTTCTACAAACAGATCCGCTCGCGAATAATTTAACGACAGTTTGAAAAACCTTGTCACCAATTGAATATTTCTTAAATGACGTAACCATAGGGAAACGGGGAGTCGCGTTGGAAAAAGCAAATAGAATCGGGCGAAATTTCGCCGGGGCAACGCGCAGAAACATCTCGGAGCGCGAGCGAACAATGGTTCGTTCGTGCTTTCAAAAAGTCAACCAAATTAATTTCAATTACAGACCGCGGCCCGGTTCGTCTCCTAGCAACCGAACGTTAGCGGAGAACGCATACGTGCTGGTAGCTGCGCGAATATAAATTGGCGCGGCAAACAACTTGCTGGCAAATTGTAATCGGCGAGCGAAACGGGAATAAAACGCGTTACGGGGGAAAAAATACACGCGCACAGAGAGAGAGAGAGAGAGAGAGAGAAAAGGAAGAAGAAAAAACACACGGAAGGCCGCGGATAGGGAGGAGGAGGAGAGAGAGACTCGGATGTATCTCGTGCACATTAAGTAGGCAAACGAACGACAATATTCTTGTGAGCGAGATAAACCCGGGAGAGAACATGCCCTCGAATGCATATCTCGCAAACGAGAGGAAGCTTCGCGATAATTGAAACGCGAAGATCCTTCGACACCTCAACGCTCCTTTAATCAGTCACGTTCAAAAGAATCTCCGTAGCACTTGCCAGATACAGAGAGACAGGGAAGCTTCGCGATAATTGAAACGCGAAGATCCTTCGACACCTCAACGCTCCTTTAATCAGTCATGTTCAAAAGAATCTCCGTAGCACTTGCCAGATACAGAGAGACAGAGAGAGAGAGAGAACGTATTCGAAACCTACCAAACCGATTCTTATTCCAGCAAGGAGAAAAAGGAGTGGAACCACCTTCTCTCTGGCCCGGTGGTGGTTCTCTCGCGAGCTTCTCTCGGTTACACAGACTCCTCAGCCGAGGCGTAAAGTGTTCCAGGGGCCGCCTTTGATGTCGAACAATCGGTAAAGCGTGGATGATCGCGCTGGAAGGCGTGGAATTCGGCGCCTGACGAGTGACCTCCGCGTCGTTTGGTCGTTTCAGCAGGTGATCGGTGCGCGATGAGGGGTAACGGTTGTCCGGGGGATGCAGGAGTGCGAGCTGGAAGACGGCCGTGGGACACGGAGCAAGGGAGAGCAAAGGAGGCGGAGGTGGAGGAGCAGGAGGGGTGGAAGGAAGAAGAGAACAGGAGAACGGGGGTGGAAAACAATTAAGGGAAGGCGAGGAGAGGGCCGCCTTGTATGATAATGCGTTGTAACCTCCGGCAGAGGAGAACGATACGGTGAAGAAGGAGGTGGAGACGACGGTGGCGGAGGCGGAGGTAGAGGAGCAGAGGTTTGCCGAGGATGAGGCCGGATGAAGCGCGGAATGGAGGGGCAGCCGCGAGAAGGGGGTTGGCGGAGGTCGTGGTTCTTACTTTGCATTCCTTTGTGTGTCCTCCTGAGCCCTCCATCTACCCTCCTACAACCCAGTCATTCTCCTCCCTCTTGAAGCTTGAACTAACGCCCGAGGTTTTAATGCACTTGTCTACTCCACATACCGTTCATAAAGACATATATGCCGTCTGTTGAACGAGCGGGCAGGAGGACTGATTCTTGGAAAGAGGAGTAGAACGATGAGCGAGAGAAAGAGAGAGAAGAAGGGAGTGAGGAACGGTACAAGAGGGGGAGTGGGTGCAGAGAAAGAGGAAGGAAAAAGGGAGACGGGCCGCGCGAGCGATATACGAAGAAGCGAGAGACGGTGCCCGGCAAAAGAAGAGCGCCACGAGAAAGAGAAAGCGGAGAGCATAACGATATGAAATGCATTTTAAATTCTAAGCATTCGCTCGCGTCATGGAAAGACCTCGGCTCTTTGCTTGCATAATCCTGCCGGTGATGTATAAAAGTTAAAAAAGAACGGCGGAGAGCCAACGGGGAGAAATTAAAATGCACTGGTCGAATCAGACCTTTGCCTACCGGCCACGGAACTTTCGTCCAGGGCATCCGTCTTCGGCGAAGACTGCCCTCGGCCCCTTGCGTTCCCCCGATCTTTCGCATGAATACTCGGAGGTGGTGCATGTGAAGCTTTTGTTCTTCCAGGGGAAATGAACTGTTAAGAAGCTAGTTTAGTTGATAGATCTCGAACAATTTAATAAGCTTGTGTTCGGTATGTGATAGTTTCAGAGGTGTTGGAAAGAATAGAATATGAATTTTCACATTATTATCGTTTTCTCTTTGTTTAAACTGTTCGTGTTTAAATCAGTACTATAAATGTCCTTAGCTCTTAGATTCGATATCTACCAGTGGTAATTACACCTTGTAAATCGGGCGAACGATATCGTAAAATTTCACATTCGTATCTTTATAAAATGTGAAAAAGAACAAGCTCTTTTTGTAGCCTGTTTCCACTTGTTCCGTGAAGTATCAAAGATGCGAGACCGAACGTGAAAGAAGAAATGCGAGGTTTTTAACTAAGCTACGGAAAAGTGGCCGAAGAGAATCGATAAATCTAAAGGAACAGGGCGGACAAAAATATGAAAGTATCGAGATCGAAAGCTATCTTTCACACGTGTTGTGTTCCCTCCGTTCGCGTGTCAATGAGATACATATTTCATTGAATATAAATACCGGCTCCCACGTTTCTTCTCAGCCCGGTGTAATCAATATGCATTCAGTTTCCTTGCATTCTCCCTGGTCGCTTAATTTCGCGCTTGTTACGCGCCCGATGATTTTGCGAAGCGACTCCGCGCCGAGTTTTCACTTACGAAATTATAAACGCTCCCCGTCAAAGGGAACCGCGAATATTTTGTACAGTCCTATTGTTCAATTATAGCAGAACTTACCTCTTGTGTCCCGGTATCCGCGCACCAACCAGCTCTCTGCTACGTCGTCATTCGTCAATCTATAGAACAAACGAAACAGAGAAAGAACAATTAGCGGGAACGTGTATCGCCCCGTATCGGTGCTTTTCATTTTCGAGGGAACGCGAAACAGGTTCGAAATTCGTTAAAATGTTTAATTAGATGCAACAAGGTCAAGAGCAACAGCATCGGAATTTATAATAATTTCGATTTTATCGCGGCGTTTATTTCACCGACGGGCATAAATTAATTTCGATGCTCGTATGCCGGTAGTTTTAATGAATTTCAAGTAATTTCTATTAAATCGCGTCACCTTTGGCAGCCGGCCGCATTATGCCGTTCCGCCGGCCACTTCATGTTAAAATCCGCAAATATTTATACAAAATAATAACAAAATACGGTGAATGAAGCGCGTGGGTGAGAACGGCCGGTACAATGCCGTCCGATAAACCGACACGATCATCGACCCTCGATTACTAATTACCAGTGTCGAGGTTCTGCTACTCATTTCAATCGTAACCGATAGAATCGCGTGCACCGTGCGTGTGTGTAGTCGATGAAAGAAATATAGCGCGGTCGTAAATTAACCCAAGGTCGAATGTCACAGTTTTTCCTTTTTCGATTAGGATTGAATCAAAGCTACTGGCATACCTACTTCATGCGACCCTTTCAGCTCCTTATTTTTTCAGATTTCTTTTCATTCGCTTGTCGATATTCTCGAATATGTAAACTTCCACGTGAGTAATACACTATTTTTTCTTTTTCGACATTCACGTCACTCTACTACTCGAGAATGCATATTTTACCGAAGATGGATTATAGGAGGACCTGTTTTTCTTGTTACAGTTAATCTGAGAAATCAAGATAGCAACTTTATTTCGCTAAAAATAATATATTTACACACTTTTCTCCAAATATTTGTCGATACTGACATTCTTTAATACCTTAATCGAAGCAATACGAAATAATGATGAAATGACTGGAAAAACCGCGCTTCCAAAAATTGCTCACCGCGTCGCGCTGACCAATTTCACCGCCCCGCAACATTTCTTCCATCGACTATACTATCAGCACCGTCGTCGTCGTCGTTCGAAAGAAAAGAACTTCTCAGGAGAAGAAGAGACAAACGAGCGAGTAGTTTTTTTTCTTTTTAAGGAGCGTGTTCACGTGCATATGACTGATACAATGGCGACGTAGGGTCCGCCCGTGGATGTACGAACTGGTACACACCGGTCGATTCAGAGGAGACGTGCACGCGCGCACGGGAAGCAGCAGCAGCAGACAGACAGAGATACGAGAAGAGAGCAACGGAGAAATCCTTTTCATACGGCGGAAAAAAGAAAGCGGGCGCGAGATTCGCGCTTCATTCATGGGCCAAGTCTATGGGGCGAAAAAAGACTTCTCCTTCGAAATGTAATTAGCATGTCTTCGCACAACGGGCCAGACAATGCTGCCGTTTAATTAGTATGCGTCTCCGTGCCTCGAGACCGTTACTTCCCGCCCCCCCGTTGTGATCCCGTGTCCTTTACCCTCCTACGCACGGCAAACACACGTGCCAGGGAACGCACACACCCCATCGCGGGATCCACCAACGAACCGTGCACGTGTTTGTGTGTTGACGCATCGCGCGTTACTGCACGCCGCATCAGTGTCAATACGAGTGCATCTACGGACAAGCGCGCTCGCGTGCGCACGCCTGGCTGTGGTCGCGCCGCTATTATCGCAGACAGAAACACCCTGTTCCGCGTTATCGGAGCTCCTCTGAACCGATCTTCCTGTGATAAATAAGCGGAGGTAAGGGAGTGTGCGTCGTATTAGGGAGACTTTGATGGATTAGGCGAAGTCGCCGTCAAGAAATCGACGAGCTGAGAAGATTGCACGGGGTCAATTTGGAGAGATTACTCGTGAATTATAAGCTACTGTCGGTCTTTTCAAAATTTTCCCTCATTCACATTCCTGGTCTCGATTGAATAATATCGCGGGGTCTTTAAAGGGCCTTTCAACGAAGAGGGTTCTTTTTTTTAGTTTGTTAAAAAATTTTGGATTATTTATTATAAACTGAAGTTGAACGTATGGTAATCATATGTGAAAAATAGTGTCTGATAAATGGCCACCGCGAGTTTTTCTTAATTACAGCTCAATGCCTTCAATAGCACTCCAGGTCTCGCCTTTAAACTGTTCAATTGTTCGCGTTACATTCGGGTAGCCCCAAAGGAAGAAGTCTAACAGTGACAGATCGCACCACTTGCATACGTTATTCCATTGTAAAATTGCTAAATTTTACTGACGAGAGATTTCAGAAACAGAACAACATTCAGTTTTCCAATTGAAAGATATAACCTCATAAAAAATCTCATCTTAATGAACGACCCTTTACTTGGCAATTCCAATGCTACGACATTTCCCGGTAAACGAGCTCGTGGGGACCACTAAGAGGCTTCAATAAGGGTATCTCCCTTGTAAACAAAGATTGCTTGTGAATCATAAATTTCGGTACTGTGTAAGAAAACCTGAAGCTGGTGAAGCAAGCCCAGCTCGCACGCGTTAAACTTTTTTCTGGCCTGTTTCTCGCGGACAGTGTTTACAAATCAGGCAGCACGACACGTCTTCACTTTTGTTAACAAACGGTGTTTATACCGCGCGATCGCAGTCTTATAAAGAATGCGCCCATTTCGCGAGAGTCAGAAACGTTCGATTAATCTTGCGCCCGTCTTAATTTCGGCTCGGAATGTTTTCAAAAATTCATCTGCTGCGTACTACTCCTACCTATGATACAAGTTACACTGATATCTACGCTTGGTGTAGTTGATATCAAGTCCAGGGAGCCTGTCAGGGTAGGCGGCTGATGAGGGGTTCTTAGTGGGTAGCACCGGTATTTACCGGTGAGTCCCAGTGTATAGTCGGTGGAACAAATATAGCGAGGTCGAATCACTAATGTTAGCAATGAAGCATCGTCAGGTTTATTGATTTAAGAATAGAAGGATTTAAATATTAACTGTTACTTTATAGATGAGCTGGGTGCGTTCTAGGTACAGATTTCCCCCGAAGCGTTAGTTAATGGTATTAGTATAGTCGGTGGAAGAAATATAGCGAGGTCGTAAATTAGAGAATTATATAGCAGCACTGATTGAAGGGTCTAAAGCGGCATTTTTCGGTTTTAAGACTTTTTAGCACTGAATCAATGCTAAGACATATTTCAGATCCTTATCTTCTTAGGTTTTTGTCGATTCGCTTGTTGGTGTTCTCGGATGTGTAAACTTTAACGAATTTTTAATCGAAAACTTAATCGAAAATATGGAATAAGGTTATTTCACAAGAGAATTAGTTTTCGAGAAAATTGAATTGGAAGATTCATCGAGTGCACATTTAGTATGAAATTATTAATAAGAAAAACGTTCATTTTGTTTGATTTCAGAGATATAATAGCCTTTAGAATGCTCACCGTTGAGTCGTATGATGATAAAAGGAACATCAGGACAACGCCCATAACTTCCAAGACAATTTTTACTTCTGACTCAAACTTTTCCCCCCACTTTATCAACGTGCTTTGCAAATATTATTAAAAAATGGGAAAATTCCATCGAACAGTAAAGTCACAAAAAAATCTGAAAAACTGTCACCTTTTTTAAGCGTTCAAACAGATGTAACCCTTTAACTATCTCTCTGTTTTATATTTGCACTACTAGATATGGATCTATGTACATTACGACTAAAAATCTTTCCTAATTCCTCACTGAAACGACGTGCAACTGTATCAAAGTAACGGAGATCAATTAGCAACAAGCACGCTAATATCCTATTCTCGGTAGTTCGAGTCAATTTCGAACACTTGCTATTTCATAACCAACGAGTACCCGCAAGATTATCTAACAACCACGTTTTTAGAAAATGGCTGGAAGTGTCCAATGATGCGCAAACTCGGCCACAGGAAAATTATTATTAACGCGATCTTGACGCAAACAAGAGCTACGACTCCGTCCTGCTATTGCGTCCTTTTTTGTTTCGACGAAGGTCGGTACCGCGGACACATGTTCCCACGGTTCGAAGACTGCGCTTTAATGGCAGACTCGAGCCAGTGGATGTGTGACGCGACCGTGACGCATTAACGCGACACGTCGATTCGCAATTACCGTGCGAGAATCCGCTCACATCCTCGAGACAATTGCGGTGGGTGACGAAGGACGACCAATTTGCTGTTGAGCCAGAGGCAGAAAGCTACACGGCTTCCGGGATGGTAGTATCTCTAGTGTCAAACGGTGGCAGCAGCATTGCCAACGATCATGCGTTGATAAGCAAACCGACGATAGCCGAAGTGAAAAAAGAAAAAAAGAAAAAAGAAATACGAGAAGTCCCGTCTCTCGTTCTTTCTCTTTCTCTTAAATAGAGAAAGAAAAGGTGAGGATGTGGTAATCGGTTTCTGGTCGAAATGAATATTTAAAAAACATATTCAATTCGTAATTTCATCGCAGTCTTCTGGATCTTTCCGCTCGAGTGTCGTTTCGTTCGAGTGCTCCTTTCAATGGGACGCATTGTTCGAAACGTAAAATGTTGAGCACGAGAGTTTTACTTTTATTACCGACGTTTTTTCGAAATTAGTTTCGGAGCGATCGTCGAGATAATTTAATGGTATTTCACGGTCTACGCGGAACCATTAAAAAAAAAAAAAAGCAGAGAGAGAGAGAGAGAACGACCAAAATATAGATGGTATGGCGGGGAGAGGAGAGAGAGAGAGAGTGAGCAGGGTGGAGGGGCAAGAAGAAAAAAGAAGGAAAAACGCAATTAAAAGCCGATTTCAAATTGCGATTGCATCCGCCTGTAAAATTATCGTTAATGCACCTACCGGCGCGGCGGGTCTTCAATTAAATTGTTGAATGTTATTTTTCCGTGGCCGTAACGCTTTTCCTGGCTTCCTTGCACGATAAATCCGTCCTCGAGCGTGAGGAACGGATACAACGTCGCGGCATAATCAAACTTTTTTAGACATCCTTCCTCGCTGATAACTCCCCGGGGCTACTTCGTCCGATCTATGGCGGAGCGACGA